GCTATGATCAATAGAAAAAAATGGTAGCGATAAAGAGAGGAGAGAATAAAATGACAGAAGAGAGAGAGACGAAAGAGAGAAAAAAAAATCTCCAGGAGAGAGAAGAGACAAAACAAGATTTATGAGTGAAGAGAGAAGTCAAGATTGGAAATTAGAGGAGATAGAACAATATTACTAGCGATAGTTATAGGGAGGGAAAAATAGATCGATAGTGAGAGGAGAGGGAAATCGATGAGATAAGGGGAAGGGGAGATGAGAGGTGAACAAAGGTAGACAGAGGGAGAGATTGAGTGAAGTTGAAGAGAAAGGAAACAAAGATTTTGATCTTATTCCCATAGTAAAAATTGAGGGAAAAAGAAGTAAATAAATAAAAATCGAATAAAATAATACAAAATCAGAATCCAAACGAAAAATAGCAAAAAAGAGTTAGATATTGAAATATTTTGAGTGATTTTTATTCTAAATCCATGTCCTTCAATTTCTATGGATTATAAAGATTTTGTGTGAATTAAATTAGTTAACAATTTTATAAAATTTGAATGAAATATTTTGAATTTGAATTTAGAGAAAAATGAGGAAAACTAAAAAAATATCAATTGAAAATTTTGATTTAAAATGAAAAAAAAATGGTGAAGGTAGAGGATGAAACTTAAATAATAAAGATGAGAAGGTAAAGAAGAAAAGTAAAAAAAAAAAATGTAAATTATATTGTGTACTATGCAGGAAAAAAATAAAAATGAGGGACGAAGAAGTAATTTCATGAGATAGTGACGCAACAAAATGTCGTAATATCAAGTTTTTTAAGATGCAGTCGTATCTCACAAACAGCCTCGAATTAAAGTCATTCCGTGCAATTTCTTAAAACAAGAAAGGGTCGCCAAACAAAAGATAGAAGACGCAGGTTTATATATACAAGCTCGAAGGCTAACGGAAACATAAACAGAAAAATACAACTCATTAATCTCCAATAATATATTGGACATATTTTTAATGTTGAATAATCAATATAGTAATAATTGAATAAAATATAATAATGGAAAATAACCATAATTTCAAAATGATACTAATTATTAGTGTTTTGAAATAAAGTATATTATTATTCGTTAAAAGTTTATTTCTAAATTAAAAATTACAATATTATTATTGATTAAAGAAATAAAACAATTAAAGGAGGTGTACGAAAAGAAATATGAATATATTGTAAATTTTAAATGGTTAATGATTAATTCTCATGTCAGCGGTAATTGACATCTATTTCTTTTCTTGAAGTCGGAAGTTCGAACTCTCATACATCTAATTTGGTGTGCTAAAAAAAATCATTCCACGTACTAAAAAATTAAAGTAAATAATTAATATTTATTGTTAATCTCGACACGTAATAAATATTTTCATTTTCATTTTCAATCAAAATATAGTTATGTTTGGTAACTCTTTCTTGTTACTTGTTTTTTCTTTTTTTATTTTTGTAATTAAAAAAGGAAATAGAAACATGTTTGATCAGATGTTTTATTTTTTGTTCACTAAAATTTTAAATTAAGAAAGTAAGACGTTTTATATGAAAATTAAAATTTCAAATCAAATATTCAAATTATTTATGTTATATTTATTTATTATATGTATTATACCTTTTATAAGTAAAAAATGATAAAATAATACTTTCATCCACGTTTTGATACACGACAACCCAAGCGTATTGAGCTACTCGAGTTACAAGCCACTTGAATCCAATCGTATAGTTGGTTCAACCAGAAAAACTAAGAGTTAGAGGGATTACTTTTGCAGTCGTTACCTTGAGTAGACAAATAACTCACTATGCTCGAGGTCGGAAACACTCCACCGACTTTGATGACCAATCAAACAAGCATGCTCCAAGGGGCATATATGAAAACCTAAGTTCAACCATACAAAGGGATTCGATATTTGGGAGAGTTTTGCACACGGCAAAGGGGAAAAACGCTCACGATTTTCTTATTCAATTAAACATTCAAAAGATGCCTCAACATAGAAGGGGTACACGCTATAGGCTAAGGGCCTAGGTCTTTTAAGGAAAATAACAAAATTAAAAATAATACAATAATTTGATAAATTCCTAAAAGTTGCTAAACTTGCCTAAAGTTAAATTAAAATTGATAAATAGAAAACAAATCCCACAAAATAAAGCAAGCAAATAAGAAGGAAATCTTTTCCTTTGTGATAGTGTGGATGACAAGGTAA